CCAAAGGTGTTCTTGCTTTCTTTGAAACAAAACGGCTTCTTAGTGGAGTAAACGTCACTGTTGTTGCCTTGATTCCTAAGATACTGAATGCTGAGACCTTAAAAGAATTTCGCCCTATCTCTTGCATAAATGTGCTTTACAAGATAGTAGCAAATTTTTTGGCTAAGAGACTTAGTGAAGTACTGCCTAGTATAATCAATTTGAACCAGACAACATTTATTAAGGGTAGACAGATAGTAGATAATATAATGTTGGCTCAGGATCTAGTCAGTGGATATCATAGAGAGCAACTTTTTTCCAGATGTGCTATCAAAATTGATATAATGAAGGCCTTCGACTCTGTCAATTGGGATTATCTGTTTACAGTAATGAGATTGATGGAGTTTCCTTCTTGCTACCTGGATTGGATATACACATGTGTCTCCACTGCTCGATTTAGCAAATGTGTCAATGGAGGTATGAAAGGGTTCTTTAAGGCAAAGAAGGGAGTGAGGCAGGGGGATACCCTCTCGCCTTATCTATTTGCAATTGCTATGGAGGGACTCACGGGTATGCTGAGTAGGGCCTCAGAACAAGGATTGCTTCCAGTTCACCCGCTTTGCAGCAAAATCTCCTTCAATCATCTCTGTTTCGCAGATGATTTGCTGATTTTCACAGTGGGATCAGCAAGAGCAATACTGGCGGTAAAACAGACTCTTGATCAGTTCTACTAGCAGTCAGGTTTGAAATGTAACCCTGCGAAATGTTCAGTTTTCTTTGGTGGAGAATCTGTCAAGTACAAGCAAAATGCTCTTGAACTATCGGGGTTTGCTGAAGGGAACTTACATGTGCGATACCTGGGATTACCGCTTATATCAGGAAAGTTGACAGACAGAGAATGTGAAGCATTGGCAGCAGCAATCACTAAAAATATTTGTTCATGGAGAGCTAAAAAGCTCACCTATGCTGGCCGGTTGCAACTGATTACCTTAGTAATTACAGGCCTGGTACAGTATTGGCTTCAGGTGTTTATCCTACCAAAGAAGATTCTTAAGCGGGTGCAGAAGCTATGTATGGACTTTCTTTGGCATGGAAATGATTCAGGCAGAGCTAAGATTGCTTGGGAAAGACTTGCTCGGCCTAAAAAGGAAGGAGGACTTGGCATTCGTGATCTCAGCTCCTGGAACACTGCATGCTCTTTACGGTTGCTGTGGCTTCTAATGATGCAGTCAGGGGCTATATGGGTAGCTTGGACGCTTCAATATCGGTGTAAGACAGGGGACATATGGACTATGAAGGAGAATGCAAATAGCTCCTGGGCTTGGCGTTGAATTCTGAAGAAACGTTCCCAGATCCAATCTTTTCTTAGCAGGCAAGGGGATTGCGCTTTGCGGAATGGTATACCTACGGAAAAGTACTCGGTCAAGCTGGTCTGGAATTCCCTGCGTCCTAAGTACAGTGCAGTTTCCTGGTATAAAGTGGTATGGGGACAGAGCAGTGTTCCTCGTTTCAGTTTCATTGCCTGGCTAGTAACACTTGATGGAAATATCCTGATACTGCGGATGTGATCTCCAGAACTTGAAATATTTGAAGGGTTTAGGAAGACTTTTTAGTACTTTTGTTGTTGTAATAAGGAGACCACAATGGTCAGACACTTTAGGACTAGTAGTACAAGCAGAGCTATAATTGCAGATATCAAACCACATGTCATTGACCAACACTCTGTCAATTCTCTTGGCAATAGGATTGTGCTCTTGCTTATTCCACCAAGTGAACCATGAACCAACAACTTTATGATCAATCAGTTGCATATCCTCAATCCATGCTCTAAAGTCCAACATACTCTGAGTGACAACCATAGAATTATACGCCTCATTAAGTTCAGCAATAACATTAAAGTCTCCTAAAACTATCCAGGGGACAGTTAGACATTTACACCTAGATAGTTCTCCATAAAGCTGTTGGCATTGAGAAGTCTTGTTAGTACTGTAAACTGCAGTAACAATTAACTCCTCTAAGCCACTATTCACTTTCACATGAAGAAAGTGTTCACCATAATCCAACTGAGTAACTTTGAACCCATTCCTCCAGAATAACCAGACCCTACCAGACTTGGACTTGCCATAATCATCCATATGCTCCCACCCACCAAACTGCCCATTCACTATAGCACCAGAATACTTCAAAATAACTCGTATTTCTAAACTAGCAACAAAATCTACCTTAAATTTATTTAATATACTTTATACATACTTCTTTTTTTTACGGGATGTTAAAGCCCCTGATATTCCAAGTACTAGAATCATCGACGCTTACTTCTTCCCGTTCCCTTCTTAGAAGGCGCAGGGACTTTGGCAGCACCAGACTTGTTACCCAACTTACTACCAGACTCTTCAATACTAGCCACAATCTTATCAAGCTCAACATCCTCATCACACCTCCAGATTCTAGGTTCAACCGCCTTAGTACCACTTGTTGAAGCAACACAGGAGCCCAGCTGTAATTGTTTAGGAACAAGATGGAATCCTCTAGGAGAAGAAACGCCATCAACAAGGATTGCAGTGAGAGGGGAGACTAGCGAAATCACTTGAGGAAGCTGTTGGGTCACCGCCTGGGATACCTCCTTCTAACCTTCTTTAGGGCTCCAAGAACCCTCCACCTCCACCTTACATTCAGTCCCTTGACCCTCCCCAGGGCCATAGACCTGAAAAAGAAGACAGCGCGGAGGAAGTCTCAAATACTCAACTCGAAGAGAGAAAGCCACATCACCCTTCGGCTGAACCAAAATTTCCTCTCTGAACCCACAATCAACCCCCAGATCCACACAGAGTTTAGCAGTGCCTATGTTTGTACCCAACTTCGTTGCCTGATCCATCTAGAGCGGAACCTCAAGAACACTAGCAATTCGGCTAAGAACATCAACTGTGTGGTATTCCAGCGGAATCCCCCAAATCTTAACCCAAATTGGCAATGATGACAGCTGAATATCCAGATACTGGATCCCAGGCGTCCATCGACGCAAGAACAAGAGCACATGTTGACAGTGCCAAGGCCCTCCCTCAAAAACCCAGGTACTCGTAGCAAAATCAGGAAACTGAAAGAGCAACATGGAATCCCCAAATCTAGATACATGAATTTTCCCCTCGCACCCCCACAAAGAATTTGCCCATGTCTGAATCGTCTGGATCGACGGTGGCTCGACCATAAACTGCCCGACTAGGGATTCTCTCCACCGTGTCGCCCCAGGATCCCTCAATACCTGAGGAAGGAGAAGAGCACCAGTGATCACCTCCGGCTGAATGAACCGTAGATGACTACCCTCCTCCACACCAAACAATTGGGCCCAATCGTGCAACTCCCCGTCAACAGCCGCAGCGGCCATGTCCGCCAGATCGCGATCAGAATCGCAAGAACAAGAGAGAGAAAGAAGAGAGAAGCGAGAGTGTTCATCATAAATTCTATAATTGTTAATTAATAATTAATAAGCACAATGAATTAATTACCATATTTAATTTAATTTAATTCTAAATCTGAACCTTAAACATAATTTATGTCTAAACTAGGTAATTAATAAGCTCATAATTTCTTAGTTATTGTAATTAAGCATGATTTATTTCTAAATTTAAACGCTAAACATAAGTTATTTCTAAATTAAACACTAAACATAAGTTATGTCTAAATTATGCAACGGATAGTCGCATATAAAAATGTAAATACGCCAAAAAATCAGCATATCAGAAAAAACAAAGCGACCGAAACTAGGTAAGTTTAAAAAAAAACAGGGCACCAAAAAAAATTTGCGGCTCTTCCTGGCATAAGCTAAGTTAGCCCTCGAAACCTTACTCTTGATGTGATACTTTATGGTAAGATTACGTGCGTTTGGATAGGTTTATTTCAAATTTAACGTATTTGAAATGGATGTATTTGTAATACTAGCATTTGAAATATATGTAATTCAAATTCGTTGTTTGGATACTCATTTGTAATTTGTTTGTATTTTAAATTTTATGATTTTTTATTTTAATTTATGAATTTTCTGGTCACGAACTACAAATTTTGGTAAATTACAATTTGGTGCCCAAAATTATTTTTTCTTGCAATTTAGTATCTAAACTTTTAAAATTTTACAAAAATGTCCTTAAAATTTGATGGTAAAATTACATTTTGATACCTTTAGAGTGTTTTGGATAGCATGATTTGGATTTGGTATTTGTGATTTGGATTTCTAAATGTCAAATCATGTGTTTGGATATTAATTACATTTGGTATTTGGATTTGTGTCAAATTCATAGGATGATTTCCAAATACATGTCTAGTGTATTTTTTGTCAACTTCAAATACTTTTCAACAACTAGTGATTTGAAATACCTCCTAACAAAAGATTGGACTTGTTTATAAAATATCAAAAGTTTAGGTGCTATAGTGTGAGGAAGAACATATAAAGGTACCAAAATGTAATTTTATCATCAAAATTTCTGGAACTTTTTTGTAAAATTTTAAAAGTTTAGGTACTAAATTATAAGAAAATGTATTTGGGTACCAAACTGTAATTTACCATAATTTGTAGTAAGTGACTAGAAAATTCAAAATTAAAATAAAAAAAATTACAAATGAGCATTCAAACAACGAATTTGAATTATATGTATTTCAAATGCTAGTATTTCAAATACATGCATTTGAAATACTTGTATTTCAAATACCTTACATTTGAATACACTTATCCTAATTCTATGTTTTTTCCTACATTATAGTACCTAAACTTTTAATATTTTACAATAGGTCCAATCTTTTGTTAGGAGGTATTTCAAATCACTAATTATTGAAATGTATTTGAAGTTGACAAGTAATACACTAGACATGTATTTGGAAATCACCCCATGAATTTGACACAAATCCAAATACCAAATGTAATTAATATCCAAACATAAAATTTAATATTTGGAAATCCAAATCACAAATATCAAATTCAAATCATTCTATCCAAACAAAGCGATATAGATTATAGAAAAATGCAATAGGAATCAGAATCAGATTTTTCATTCCAATGCTTTCGTAATTCAACACAAGATTACAAGTTTCTCAACAATAAGCCCGAAAATCAGATGGACAATTAACAAAAGTACAGTGAAATCGAAAATATTAAAAATTAAAATGGAAGAATTAAGGTAGGGATCACATATTGTATGAGCACCCTTCTTTCTTTTGTATATATTAATGCCTTCGCAGGGCGAAACCAGAGAGGACGACCAAGAACACCAACGCCACAGCGGAGATGAAGGAAGCCACGACAGCGCCGCTAACTTTCTGGCAGAAGTCGCCGAACTGCTGGCAAATAGCCAGCCAGTTAGCGCTCGAGTTGCCGTTGTGTGCCAAGTAGACTACCGCCGCCGCTGCCCCTCCTGCCGCCGTGTTCAGAGTCAGAGCCACCTGCATACAGTTAATCAACCAACTTAATTAAACGGTCCAATTTCTAAAACATTGTTGGATTTAATGCTTTGCTTGGATCAATTAAGGTCGTCGTATTACGATGTCGAGGGCGACGAGGAGCATCTTGGGCGCGACCGCTGATGGTCGGATGATGAGGACGATTGAGAAGGGCAGGGAAAGCACCAAGTAGCCTCCCACGATTGACATTGCAATCACAAAGAACCTGACAAATTAACAAAATTATTTAACACTTATGTTAGTTTACGTAGTCAAAATCGCGCTTTTTAACTCTAAGTTTTCTAAGTTTTGATGAAGGAGAGACGTACTGAAAAGTGGGGAGGTCGTCGTAGCTAGCTCGGAACTGGAAGAACTGAGTGAAGAAAGGGAGCGTCTGCTCGCTGCTGCCCATGGTGCCGGCGGCGGCGAGAGCTGCAACTATGGCGCCTAGCCTGAGGAGGAAGTCGAAAATGGCGATCCCCTTCTTGTACCCTGTGGCCGCGGTGGCGGCGGCGGCGCCCTTGGTTTTGATGTTCCCCTTGGAACCGTCGCTGTAAGTGGTTGTGGCGATGAGTGGTGCCTTGCCCTTTGCAACCGCGCTGGTTTCCTCTGTGATGTCAATTGTGGTCGACATGTTGCTTCCCTTTCTGGGGTTCTCTGTTTCAGTGACTCGAGAAGATGTGAGAAGATATGAGAAGTTAGAGAGGCAGAAAAGGATTGAATGTGGTTTGCTGTGTTGTGATGGGCAAATGGACTGGGAATTTATATGTGATTTACGGAGTGGGTTTTTTCCAAGTTGAGTGGAAGGTGATGGTATTGTCAATTACAATGCTTTTTGTGCTTTGGGAGAATTTGGTTTAGGGTTTCAGTTTAATAATGCGATGAGGGGAGTCGTTATGCGGATAATGGACACAACCCCCCTCCATTGTTAAAGGCAGCAGCTTTTCTTCCTCTTTAATTAAGGGGACTTTAGGGTTTTGTGACCAATTGGGTATGAGGAATTAGTTGGTGTCTGACCAAAAAGGAATTGAATGGTTGACCCAAATAACACATTATACTACTAGCTACTAACTCCTCAATCATCTGGCAGCATATTTTGTGGAAATTGTAAAGGGTTCTGAAAAATGATTCTCTTTCTTCACCAACAGCCACACTAAGGGAGATATGATATTAGCGTTTGAGATATCAGTCAATGTTGTTCTTTTCCTTTTTTTTTTTTGGGTTTGTAGTGTTAACTTCCCCTTGAGCTATAGCATATTTCATGTTCATACCCCATAACATATTTGAGAATTGAGAGTTTAGACTAAGATATTTGAGTTCTAGAGAGTGGTTATGGTGGAATAGCATAGCGCAGCGAGTAGTACCATGCTCATTTGTTCTTTACAAAAACATATTTTTATGTCCACTAATTTTATTGTATACATCTGATGGTGTATGTTGACCTATTTTAATATGTGATTCACAGAAAAATATGCAACTATTAACTTTTCATGAAAAGATAACATAGAAATAGAGTCGCCACCAATTTCTCAAAGTGGATTGGACACTTGGAAAGCCATGCTTGAATCGGTTACGATTTAGACTCGACTCGTCTGCGAATAGATTTACGGGTTCGCGGGTCGGTTACGAGTAAGGAAGGTATTAGTAGTGACGGACCCATAAATTTTACATATGGGTATCCTCTTTCAAAAATAAAGTAAAATAAAAAAACATATTAATTATTAAATAAGAAAATACTCAACTCATACAAATTAAAAAAAAGTCCATGATGTATTTTCATATTATGAAAAAATTGTAAAATACACTTGGTGTCTACACTGCTTAACAAATTTATCTCGGTATATACTACTAGACAATCATTCACGAACTTATGCATATTGGACTCAAAGCAAAAAAGACACTTTCAACATTTGTCATAGAACCATAAAAACCAATACAAATTAAGGGTTAGATTTTGTTAAGTTTTGAAAATAATTAAAGATAGAGAATAGGGTTTTGCTATTACACATTGTTTAGAATAGAACAACAAAAAAGTTGTAGACTAATGGAATTTTATTTATTAATAATAGTAGTGTCCCGGGTTTGAATTACCCATACTATCACTTATATTCTCATACGCAAACTACAAACGAGAGTAGAATAATCATTTTTTTTCAAATTTCAATGCGTCCCGGACTATTAATCATAATTTTTTCCATACGTAAATTACAACCAGGAGTTGGATAATCGCTTTTTCAAAATTTAGGGGTGTCCCGAGACACCCCTAAAGGCCCCCGGGTATTAGCACCCTTACATCGCCCTAAGTCGGTACTATAAGTTTGATTTGCCTTCTTACTTGATAATTGTTCGTTTAAAATTATTTGGCTTTACTTAGAATATAAGATGTCATTTTTCAAATATATTACATGTTCATCAACATGTAATTAAGTTGGAAGAATGAAATAATATTTTTGGTAATTTAGGAAAAGAGGGTTTTATTTATTAGTGGACTTGGACCCGTAGGCCGCCTACGTACCCGACATCTCGAAATCAAAGCCCTCGTAGTTCGTCCGACTTTCAATTGTCTTCAAAACATTTGCTTACGATTCGTCGGTGCGTAATGGTTTCTTAATTTAATGACAATCCATCGATCGCAATATCTTTGAGATAGATTAGACAAGTATTGATTACGTACCCATCGGTACGTATAGTGTATTTATTTGAACACAACCCATCAATCGTAATTTATTTAAAATAGGTTAGGTGATAAATTGATCATGTACCCATCAGTAATGATTTAATTTGACCAAACAATACTTTAGAAGTTGTATGGACTTGAACCTTTTGGTCGCCTACGTACCCGACATCTCATAATCAAAGTCTGCATAGTTCGATTGACATTAATTTTGATGAATTGAAATAGAATTACCATTTAAAAGAGGAACACATCCGTTCCTAATTTTTAAATTTTAGCTCGTATTGAAGATAGTTCTGATTCACTGAAAGGATATGTTAATGAATCAATGAGGTAATGCGTATTAGTTAATTTGTCTACATGAAATAGTGATTAAGGTTATGATGAAAATTTAAGATGGCTCTGCCAAGGGCGGCACAACCAGATACTAGAGTATGGCACTTCACCAAAAATGGCAAGTATTTCAGTCAAAATAGGATACCATTTGGTATTAGAAGGTATTTTAGTCGTGACTAGGAAGTTGTTGATCCCCCTGTGTGGAAATTGATATGGGCTATCTAGGTTCCTCCAAAACTTAGATTCTTCATCTGACAATGTCTTAAAGTGGTTCTTCCGACAATAGTATCAATCAGATCTCGTGGAGTTAGTTATCTAAGACGTTGCCTAGTTTGCTGGCGGACCCGAGAAAATATAAAACATTTATTCTTTCATTGCCTCATTGTCAATCAATTATGCTATTTTGTGGGATTAAGTGATATACTTGCTTCGGCCCCTACAACAAATTTTAGTGTATGGTGGCGTCAAATTATGCTAACAATGTAGTCTCAAACCCTTATTCTCCAATTGTATGCCTATTGTGGAGAATTTGGAAATCAAGAAATAAAGTGGTATTTGAAAATACCCAGCCTCATGTCTGTTCGCTTGCTCGTCAATTCTCGTCCCAGGTCAGTGAAGGTCTCTCCTCTTTGCCGCTTACCTCTGCTACCCCTCCTCGTGCCCCTATGTCTACTACTCTACTCTTTGAATGCCCTCCTCAAGACTTTCTGAAGATCAACTTTGATGCTGCTATCCAAGCTTCTGGTTCCTCATCGAAACTAGTAGTTTGTGGCTTCGACAGGCATGTGCTTCTCGCCTTGGGTGTCCAGCATCAGGGGATCTCTGACCCATATCTTGCAGAACTCCTTGCAGCTAGGGAGGCGATTTATTTTTCAACTTCCATAAGTTTGTCTCGTGTCATCATTGAAGACGATGCAGAAGTGGTCATCCATCAACTCAACCTTGGTGTGGTAGAAGATTCTACCGGAGGTCCTCTCATGCGAGATTGTCTTCTTAGTTTTGAGTCTTTCTCTCAATGTATAGAATTCTGAGCGGTTCCGCGGACTACCAACTGCCAACTGGGCTGCCCATAGAGTGGCACGTGACGTAAGGTCATGTTGTTGTCTCGGTTAGAGTTAGCTTCTTTTGATTTTGTAGACTGGCTTGTTAGTGGGATGGGGAGGGATTCTGGGTAGTGATTATTTCTAATGTTTGTCTTGACATTTCTCGGGGGGAAAAATTTTAGTTAAACTACAAATGGATTAAATAATTTCAGCCGTAGTAGAGAAACAAGGTAAATTACTTGTCTGAGTTGTTAAATGCTAGGGTTGCGGGGCTAAAATGGGTGACAACAGATAGGACATAACAAAAGGACGTACCTCGCTTTAACTTATCCCTGAATATTAGATATGACCTGAACAGAGATTTTATAGTATATACTAAATACTAATTATTATAATTTTCCATCATATAGATAGGGATGACAATGGGTCGGGTTGGAGACGGATAGTCCATATCCGTTACCCTACCCAAACTAGTTTGGGTTTTACCCATACCCATACCCGCATATGAAACGGGTAGAAAATTAAAACCATGCCCATACCCTTTCGGGTTTCGGGTATCCACGGTTATCCATGGGTAACGATTTCTCTTCATAACTCCAACCAATATGTTAACATTCATATGTATTCTCACATTACGTAGGAGGAAAAGTATGACAATAATTCACTAGAATGAAGAAAATTAATTAAAACAACACAATTTCACGAAAATATTATATTTATATGCTAAATATAAAATATGTTAGAGAAAAATAATGATTATTTCTAGACAAAATACATATGTATGTGTATAATCGGGCGGGTTCGGGTTGGATAGTGAGAAACCCATGCCCACCCATTACCCGCAATATTCGGGTTCGGGTTTTACCCGTACCCACTAAATGTCTTTCGGGTTTGGATTTTACCCTACCCGATTAGGCCGGGTTCGGGCGGATATCCACGATTACGGATATTTTTGCTGAGGATTTTCAATTATGGTGAAGAGTGAAGACCTCAAAATTTTACTCGTCCTTTCCCCTTGTATTGTATGTTCACATTTATATCGTGAAGAATTGAAGTTGTAGAAATAAGGAACAGAGAGATGCAAAAATTACAGAAGAAAAGACCACTTTTATAGAGAAACATACACAGAAACAGAATCATCACTCACTCATACACAACCGCAATTCTTTCCCCATACAGGTATACAGTAATAAACAAACAACATTAGAAAAACACACATCACAGCCTTTTCAGTAGCTGGACACGAAAAGCTCTGATGGATTCATTGTCTCTCGCCGTACCAAACTCTTCTAGTCTTTCAGTGCCTCCGGAGAGCAACAGCGGAGAGAATAACCAGCACCACGAACATAAGCACGGCCACAAACCCGGCCACCACTGCGCCACTCACCTTCTGGCAGAAATCACCGAACTGCTGACATATCGCCAGCCAGTTGGTGTTGCTGTTGCCGTTGTGCGCCAAGTACACGATGGCCGCCGCTGCTGCCGACGCCGCCGTGTTCAGAGTCAGCGCCACCTACACGCAGTTAGACAAGGTAAGTTTGCAGCTCGTTTTGATTTTACAGCCAACTAATCAAGTTCATTTGCAGGTGCCCTTACAATGTCGAGAACGAGGAGAAGGAAGCGTGGAGCAGCAGCTTGCGGGCGAACGATGCAGACAATTGAGAATGGCAGGGAAAGCACAAGGTAGCCTCCAACGATCCCCATTGCAATCACAAAGAACCTGCAAAAAAAATTTACCAACATAATGGGAGGATAAGATTAAGGCAATTGCTTAGTAGCGTTCTTGAGATGAAACTAGTGTTATCATACTTACTGGAATGTAGGGAGGTCGTCGTAGCTGGCTTGGAACTGGAAGAACTGAGTGAAGAAAGGCAGGGTTTCGTCACTGGTTCCCATTGTGGCAGCTGCAGCCAGGGCGGATACGAGAGCAGCGAGCCTGAGGAGGAAGTCGAAGATCGCGACGCCTCTGTGGTAGCCCCCTGTTTTGCCTCCATGCTTGGCTGCTGCGACGATCGAGGCTTTCCCCTTGGGCACTGAGCTCGATTCAGGGACATCGATGGTGGTGGCTGCTTCTTTCGTCGACATGGCTGGGATTTCGGGTGGTGGAAAGAGTGTTAAGAACTGGAATGAGAAGAGCTTTGATGTATTTGCAGGCTGTAGGAGAAAGGTTCTGACTTTGCTTCTGTGTTGATGAGAATTGAGGGGGAAAGGGTGGTAGCATATATAGGATGGTGAATTGATAAGTGGTGTTCAAAGGGCTAGAAAGGGGAGTTGTTGGTTTTGCTTTGTTGCCAATTTCTTTGTTTCCAGGGAGTAGTTGCTCCTACTTCAAAAACAGAGCAATGAAATATGTGGGATTAACAACTCCTATTCATGTTGCATTGGATTTGGTAACACGAATTATGATTGGTCTCTTTACAATCCATACCACCTGTTGTTCATAAAGAAAGACTAATAATTAATTCATCATACATGGCTTACTGTCTATAAGATATGTCTAATTTGATTGATCATACTCATCAATCGATTTGATATTGTTACATGCACAACTGAAGATTTACAGGTTTCCAAAGAAGTGGAAGTGAAACATATCTGCATTTTACCATGTACTTTTTTAACATCAGGTCTTCAGGGATATTGTGCAGTTGTGCAAAAAGTGGTACAATATGCACATTTTTTGCCTTTCAACACAAGGAACTCTGTGGCTATCCCCATTGGAAAGAAATTCAAGGAACCAACACCCAGGGGTGTACATCATTAAGTTATTCAGTGCTGTCTAAACAAACTGCCACGGGTTGTTGATGGTTGTCTGTTTACTTGCCTGATCTCGCCGTTCCGGTAGTCTATCAAATTCGCTATGGTTATGACTGAGCCAACTTCAATGAACTGAAAAACAACTTTGGAAGTCAACTCATGGTGACATTGACACAGACCATCCTCGCTCTGCAAGTGCTTCTGTGACCTTCTTAGCAGCCTCTGCAGTATCATTTAGTGGAGCATAGCTCCAGGTCTCCGACATCTGTAGTAAAATGTAGAGTATTTTAAGTTATCATACAGAAATTATTTTGAGATTGAGCATTACAAGAAACTTGTTAGGATAAACTTACGTCCTCTTCACCAGTGAAAGGTCGGACCATGCCAAGTTTCTGCAAACGCTCCTGGAAGTCAGCAAACTTCCATTTACACCTTTCAGCTCCTATGACATACACAGGCTTCCTGCAGATCAGAAAAGTGGATTGTTGACTTTCAGTTGAACAAATTGATTTTCAAGGGAGTAAAGATTTGATCTTTTCATGTTACCCTGAACAAACATACATACCCAGTACTGCAGGCCTCACTCAGCATACTTACAGAGTCAGCTGTGATGACAAAGGCATCAGCACAAGCCAGATGGCCCATATGTGGATTTGAACCTATTCCAGTCAATAATTGAGAAATATTCATACCTCCTGAATGGAGATTTAAATTTAAGTGAAAATATTTGCCACTGATATCTAACTGATAGATACCTTGACCATCCCAGATGCAAACCTTCGGGTTAGCACTAAATGCTTTCACAAGCAGCTCCACTACCTGTCAATATAAAAAATAAAAAAATAATAAAAAACTAATAATGAGGGGAAGTATCAATCCAAGAGAATAAGCTATTAACGCAGTTGCTGAAAATACCTTCTCTGGGGTTCTCCGGGAAAAGGATATTCTAACACTTCCACAACTCGAAAGAACATTATGTAGCATATCTATTAACTGCATAGCAAGATCAGCACCATACCGACAATTACCTACAGGGAATGATGTAACAAGTTGTGCAGGCAACAATCACTAATAGTTCATTCTTTCAAAATAAGCAGCTATGAAGTGAGGGAGTATAAAAACCATTATAGTCAGTGTGTCCGTGAGTTGGAAAAGGAAAAGAAAAAAGACTGAACTATAAATCGGGATGAGTAACATGAGTATAGTTCTAGATAGCCCCATGAACCATGTTCCTGTGGGACTCTGCAGAGAGTAAGTGATGGAACCTCGTTAGGATCTAGCATAAACTGCTAACTGTACATATCTGTGGACATGCATATTAACCTGTGGGTCCGCCAACATTGACAACAAGCAGAGGCTTTGGTAAGGACTGCAACTCTTCATGCCATACAGAAGCAGCTATCCTCAAGGCAGCAGGATCAACTTGATGAAGAGCTCCAACAGTCAGTACCTGACATCTCAAAACCCTACTTATAAGTTCTATTACCTTCCGAAATAAACTAATCACTGCGAATAAAAACACAAAATTTTAAACACTCTCACAAACCAGATTGAAGAAATAGCATTGAACCACCATGAAATACATACCACATGTTTATCTGGAGGCTCCCGTGGTGTTATCCACCTCCGGAGAAACCAAGGGACTTGCTTCTGACCTTGCGGAGTCAACGGATAGTAATCATGTTGAGGAGTAATCACCAAATCAAACCTATTGAGACGTGTTCTTGGATGTTGTATCTGTGGCAAGATTGTAACTTCCAACATCAGACAATTACCACACAAAAAATATCAAGAAAAAAGGACAAAACAGATTAAGATAGTTTGGCTGGAGGCAGAACGATTCCTACAATGAAAACATGTAGCCAGCACTTGCGCCAGGCATTACTCAACGATCATAAAATACTACTTAAAATGGCAAAGTTCAACCTGTACAACAAACACATTTTCTGGAGCTAACCGTCTTATCGAACTTGCTACTGGAATGGTGTCCCTCCCTGAAGCAACGATCAACAACGGTCCATCCCTGAAGAGAAATGGAAACCAATCATAAACCCATACCCATGATCACAAATGTAACCAGGAGAAAAATGAAAACGTACTTGTGAAATGAATCTCGAGCAATGGCTGCGATCTGCTTCGCATCAGCTTCGTGTATATTTGTAAGTCCTGCAATACCCAAATGCAACATTTTCCGATCAATACTCATCAGTCATCAGTAACTCACCGCACATGAGAAAAAAAGGGGCAAATTCGAACTTCAGAGGAGCACCAGCTCTTGAAGACGACGAAGGCGCCACTCCGTGGCCGCTTATTGCCGCACGAAAGCTTCCCAAGCCGTCAAAAACGATCCGGCGCATGAGGTAGTCAACTTTCCAGTGTACAGACACCGGAAACCAATGGAGCCAGCCGCCGATCCCTCCAGTTGGCCTCGTGACACGCTAGAATGAATGAACGGAACGAATTTCAGAACAGAAGCCATAGATTTTTCTCGAGAGTAAACAAATTTCAATCCAGTCGAACAAAGCTTAGAGGTTCATACGTATAGAGAATGGCGGGAGAAGAGTCCGAGAGCTCGAACCAACCCGATACACTGATTCTCTGCCCCAGCGAACCCATTTCCAATTATCACCGCTCGCCGGACCACTCCGTAATCGACGCCGGCGCCGTCAAACGGTAGCCGCCTGATCGTTCTCATATCCCGTGTTCGATTGAGGGGAAAGCCGGAAACTCGGGTAGCGAAGCAACTTGACAAGATGCGGAGGCCGTTTGGGCCTAACCTTCGGCCTCTATGGGCTATCACTATTGGGTCAAAAGGCCCAAATCACAGTTTTCCGAGCCCGACTCGAGATAGTTGACGACCCCTTTATATGAATTCTGAATCGGCGCTGACCGTGGAAGGCGAAACTTTGGCTTTGCCGTTGCACTGAGGAAAGACTGTAAAGAATGAGGACAAGCGCCGATGGAGGAGCACCGGAGGTGACTCTGGAGACTTCGATGGGCGCCTTCACCGTCGAGGTACTTCAAAATCTTTTCTCTGTCTCACCTTCCGTTTGGTTGCTGAGGAAACTCTGTAGGAAAAATAGACGACTGTTCTTCCTTCCAAATCTTTGTTTTTTCTTTGCGTGTTTGCATAACTAGGGATTGTTTTTGGTTACCTGCAGCTGTATTACAAGCACGCTCCAAAAACTTGCAGGAACTTCCTTGAACTGTCTCGTAGAGGGTACTACGATGGTGTGAAGTTCCACCGGATTATCAAGGTATGGTTCAGCCTGCTAATAGTTAGGGTTTTTATCTGATTGATTTGGGTGATTTTGTGTTTTGCTAATGAAATTTGTTTGCTTTTTGAGTACAGGATTTTATAGTGCAAGGTGGGGATCCTACAGGAACAGGGAGGGGTGGGGAGTCCATATATGGGTGAGTGTTTGCTTCCCTTTTCTCTGAAGTTTGAGTGATAGGAGTTAGTTCTGTAGCATTTGTATAACGAATACGAATGAGATAAAGTATGATACTTTCTGTCATAGGAAAGATTATTTCTTGTTAGGTTCAGTTCAGTAGAGCCTTATGGAATTCTAAGAATGATTTCCTTCTTGGAGGGTATTATGCATTGGTTTGAACCTTTGAGTGTTGTCTTATAGACTTTTTTTCTCTGTGGTTTATGTTATAGTAAGAAGTTTGAAGATGAAATAATGAAAGACTTGAAGCACACTGGAGCTGGGATTTTATCCATGGCTAATGCTGGTCCTGATACAAATGGAAGCCAGTTCTTCATTACATTGGCACCTTGTCCGAACCTGGATGGTATGCTACTGTAACAAACTCACCTAATTTTATTTGCATATTCCTAGCTGTAAAGGGTGATCTTTGTGCTTTCTGGTAGGTGGTTTTGAAGTGATCACTCTGTGCTTGTTTAGACATTGTTTTGTTGAGTGATTGATATTGAATGGCAGTTGTCAGTTTGAGTGCATTTTTCGCAAGTGCTACATGATTTGATGAAAATTTGGTGGTCACTTTGTCCTTTTCAAAGTCGATCCATGTTTGCAACACTTCCTGTAATGCTTGGGGCTGTCATCCTATGTGAGCTAATGTAACCCAAGAGTTTTGATCTGGCGGAGCAGTTTTCTTCCCGCTGGTTCAGAAATAGGAAGGCTGTGCTCAGAACATATGTAATCAAAGTCTTTGCTGATAAGCTTGACGCGTACCACATATGTTGGGATAGTTTGCGTGTATTTGTGTCAACCAACTTATATTGACATGTTTGTTGGTTCTGAAATAAAAGTCTTTGCTGATAAGTTTGATGTGTAGCGCACATATAGGGATAGTTTTTCGTGTATTTGTGTCAACAACTTATATTCCACCATTAAGCTTTGTATCATGTCCAAATTTTGTAGGAAAACATACCATATTTGGAAGAGTTTGTGGTGGGATGGAGATAATCAAAAGACTTGGGAGCGTTCAGACTGACAAAAGTGACAGGTGAGTTTTTCATAAAATGTTCACGAATTCTGTTTTATGAAACTTGACTTGCTAAGGCATTCGCTGTCACTAAGTTAAACATGCTCAGTTTAGCTCAAAGTTCCATAATTTTGGTGGATTGCAGCAATGTTCCTACTAAAATCTGCTTACTTCATATGATCTATTTGATACATTGCAGGCCCATTCATGATGTGAAGATATTGAGAACGTCCGTCAAAGATTAAATGCTGCAAGGCAAGACGACGAATCCAGATAGAAGAACTTAGGAATCAGCAATCGATGTATGCAATCAATGTCGACAACCGCTCTGCAGACCTGAAGCTGCTGAGAATGTAATTTGGCTTCAAAGGGGTACTGTTTTGCCCCTCGACAGCAATCGTGGATCTCAATTCTCAACCTGCCTTGTTTGTAAAAATGCTTATGTCGATATAAGCAAATTTTATTAGAGAAAACTCAGCTGCGTTGTCTCTTAGACCCAAACCGAGCATTGTTTGAAGTCCTGATCCAAAGTATTACATTGTGCCTAGCTTTAACGTTCCACCTTTGAATTCTGGTGGCGTTTATCTGTGAAAGAGTTATCCTTTGTTAGCGAGAGCTAAAATATTAGATGTGGAACCTAGCCATTTTTCCTTTATTTATATCTGGTCCTATTCCTCCTAACGGAAACATGCCACCCTCTCCTAAGGGAGGAGAAACAAGAGTAAAATATTAAAGATGCTTTAATAAAAGCATCGGCCCGAAATTGCTCTATAATTTCACTTAAATCGTCATATGTAACATGTAGAAAATACTAGCTCTCCAGCTACTGTTCTTCCTTGTTTCTCCTACTGGTTCTCTCCCCAAGAAAACAGAGTACAATAAGGATACAAACCAATGTAAACTATCTCCCATTTACAAAACCAACCAAATTCTAGTTACCTATCCATCATGGGAAAGATACCCCAGATGCCCGCCTAACTACAACATCAGGTTCACCATTGAATCCAAACCGTCAGAACTCCTTTCCTAACAACCCTTCTTTCCCAGAAAAATATATTCCCCTACAGCAAACACCACAACACAGAACAACTCCCTCGCTGCCACAATTGAGACTAGTGTTTTTCACCTTCACTTGCCCTATGCGCCCAGCTCTAGATACGTCACACTCGAAGGGATAAAACGGGCTAGGAATCACACATAAGCTCATGATGACCCACTTCAGCTTCGACTTTGATTGTGTGGTAAGCAGTGTGAGATTCTAACTAATCCCGTTCTCATCACAAAAATGATTGGCCATCGATGGTGGTGCTGCACCGAATCCATTCTCCTTGATAGCGGATCCATGCAGCAAGTCTTCTTCCCTTGAGCTCGTCATGCTCGAGATAGTAGTTGGGGGTTGCTGAGAGTTGTCGCTGGGTACATCTGAAATTACTTGTTGTTCCTGTTGTTGTATGAGTTGGATCATATGTTTTGAAGATGGCACATCGCCCATGCAGTATCTCCGCCACATGTCCCTGTATGCCGACTCCAAGCCAAGAGTGAAGTTTGCTCCGTCACATACAGGCGATTTGGACATAAGATCTCGGAGCCTCATCCTCAAGCTCGAGAGAGCATCAACATCTGAAGCCAGTTGAAGCGCCATTTGAACATACTCATCCTCATTTTTGGCAACCAGATGTTCTAGTCCTGTACATTGCCATAATCAAAACCACAAAACTCAGCTGACTTCCCTTCAAACTCTTAAGGCTGGTTTTATTGCATGTTTGCTTTAGCTTTAGCGAAAAGAAACTGATTTGGTAGTAACTTTCAGTGAAAAGGAAGGGAAGTGTTTGGTTAGGTCTAGAAAAGGTACAGTAAGTAGGATATGAGATATTGTTTAAAAATGAAAGAACAGTAGTTTGTGATAATTAGAAAATGAGTATCGGGCAATGACTATATGCATATAGCACTAAGAACTTCTTTCAGAAGGACAAAGTTGGAAATGAAAATATTCTAGTGAGGGACTTTGGGCTATTAACAATTTGTCAATTAGAATGAGTAGTATCTCCAAAATGTCGGACTGATTTGCTTAGGGTTCCTAGGTTACCTTTTCTTTGAACTGAAACAAACACACCCTTAATTCCACTCCACTTGCCATGGCAGATAGATCAAGTACACTAAACAAGTACAAAGAAAGGTGTCTCACCTACTTTGCTGAGAAGACTAACACCAACGTTGTGAGCATGTACCGCTCCAGCCATAGTAATACACGGTACTCCCATGAACAAAGATTCACACGTCGTTGTTGTTCCAGCATATGGGAACGTATCCAAACTACAACACAGTAAGATGTTATACACCATGATGATCTTTTCGCGCAAGAACTGGCGAGCACATTGAAAATACACAACAGAAGAACAGAGGTAAAACCAATCACAGTATATAACCGTGTTCTACATGTAAAATCCATCAACCAACAGAAGAAATTGACCAGATATGGCACATGTATAGTTGGGACTGGCATTTTAGTTGGTATTACAGCTATTAGGAGAAAAAATTCCAAGCTAAAACAACTCCAGATGAGGTTTATGGGATGTGCTTCTATGACAACCCTACTTTAAATAAACAACCGACTAGGACAAGACTTTCTGCAGAAATTATTTGCTACATAAAAGGTTAGGTTATAGTCATATTGTCAATTTAACAAGCAAGTAAATAAACAGAGCCTGGAAACACAGCTATAGGAGCCAAAAACTTCTTCAAGCCATTAAGGCGCAGCAGGAAACCTTTTTGCTGCATTTAGTACTAAAGCTGATCGTTAATGGACTCAGTGTGATGCAGCACAAGCAGACAGCAAGGAAAGTAGAAGCAATGAAAACTTTCCATAACATAGGGTTAACCAGGAAAAGCACCCGTCTTGTATCACAAAGAATGGTATCTTCTAATCATTTGCATAATATGACCCATAAAGTTAAAACCTTGCCAAACTGGCAGAAACAACTGGCTTATTCACTGATATAGCAGGTCAACCAGGAGGTATCAAATTAGCATCTGATGACAGCAGTCCTACAGCAATAAAGGAGCTTTGCCACTGACACTTTACTAGAAGGTAGCAACAACAGACTGCAATTATGTCATTTATATATTATTTCAAGATCTCACCTGATATCCATGAGAGAATATGCTTGCATATGATCATGGTTCAGAAGAATTAGAGGCAGAAGATCAACACGCAATGGTTCCAACCCTAGCTGCTCCAAAGTTGTCAGAAATTTCTGCCGAACACTATCGCAACAGAATGGCTTGCATTTAACAACCAGGCGAGAGTTTGGAACTGCACAGAGAATCCTAGCCCACACTTGCAGTACTCTAGGAGTTATCTGCCAGGGAGAGAAAGTTGCAAAGAGTGATGAGTAAGGATCCTCGCCAATTACAATAATGAGTTTTACTAGAACTTGGCAAATAAACTTGCCCAACTATCTCCTGATACATACCTTTGCCAGATTGTTGAAACTACCAAATGTTATAAAGCCATTTGACACAGCAGGTGCAACCGCGACTGGCCCAGCTTCAGGGGACGGAGTGTAACAAAGAAAGGATTCTGGTAACCGGACTAAATCTTCGACATGGCTACAAACAAACAAGAGATATTAGCACAGGTACCAGAGTAACTACAGATATTTCCAATCTAGAGGATCAAGACTCCCATCAGAACTGCCAAAAGTAAAAGAGAGGTGGAAGAATCCATACTTCTGTTTACTATCTGGTGGATCAGCCAGAGAATCAGTGATTCTGTAATCAATGCTAGGTAAACCAGTTGTGTTTGGATACCCTATCCATGTAACCTGAACAAAAAAACAATTATCAAACTAAATCCTTGTATAAAAAGAGCATAAGCATATTTCAACATAATGCTTCTTACTGGTATAGAATACTCAATCAAGCACCCAGCAAAGTTCATACGTTCAGGTAAACCTAAAAAGACCAATTTGCAAGAAGTATACAACACAAACTCCAGCTATGTGAGTTCTACAGGTACCTTAAGCATCATCACAGTTTGCCACACCTAACATTACTACGGCATCACTGTGCTCACTAATGACTTCCTCTCACTATTAGAGCATATAGGCAAAGATGCAATAGGATTGGTGCTTCCTCTGAAAGGATTCTACATTTTATGTCTGGTATTGGTTAGATAAATATACCTCTTACTCTTCCAGCTGGCTCATGTTGAAGACACACAAAATAAAATCTTGAACAGATGCATCATGCATGTACCGACATCAATTACAGAAAAAGCAAAACAAAGTCTCTGGCCACACTTGCTATCCAAGAGCAAGTAACCAGTCCAAAAGCAGTTTCCACCTCTCTTCTAAAACAACCAAATTAATGTTTAGCATGGAACAATAGCAGTAGAAAGCAAAATACACTTTTCCACTCATGCCAACAATTTCATGCATACCTGAACAGGTGCTGGTCGACACGCCATAGTGCCCAATTTATTGTTAGCAGTATGTCCAGTTAGTTCCACTAAGATGTCAACATTGTCTTCTCTAACCAAACCTGCCACCCTCTTTTCATCAATTCCATATATGTCTCTCCACGACCCTCCTTTTTTAAGCACTTTCTCTCTGAACCTATGCGTTTTTGCATCAGCCTGTAAACAATCAGAAGCGTTGATATTTTGAGCAAGTGCATAAGACGGACCCACAATTTCATAAATAATAGGCACATTAGACAGATGAAAAGAAAGGCCATGAAAAAATTGGCATTGCCATCGTCATATAAATGCAAACAGTTGACAAGAACAAACCCAAACAAGCAGAACTGTCATGAGCTGTACTAACAACAATTAAAAACATATCTACAAAACCAGAGTAACGCAATTACAAGTGGCCTACATTTGCCTGCAGGGCAAGAGTCAGATAACCTGTAGCCCCAAGATAGCTGCAAGTTATGACAGAGACATTCTCACAATGCAACAAGAAAAACAGCATAGACAATACCTAAACATAAGAAAACACTAGCTTGGATAAAGATGGCACATGAATAAATTAGAAAAACTGAATAATGCTATTACAATACCTTGACAACTGCCGAATACACAACCACTTTGTAATTCGTATAGTCGTGATAGACAAGGGGTGCCTCAATGAAATAAGATACAGAATGAGTAAAATAATCTGGAGACACATATCCAATGACAAGTGGCCTTTCTGGTTCTTTTGGATTGTCCCAGGAAGTGTATTGAGGATACAGCCTCATAAAGCGCCTACCCCAGTCCCTGCACATGCATTTCAATTACAGATCAACAAATAAACCCAGGTTCAACCAACAGGCAATAAAATGGCAAGATATGAAACTTCAAAACTTATGCCAACATAAAACCATATTAAGGAGGAACTGACTAGGGAAAGCTTCAGCGAAAAAATCCAATAACAGCAAACATATAACAAGGAAACCCAAAAATGACGAGTGAAATAAATGGACGATTATTTCCGCGGCACACCCTTGTACATTGCAGATTTCCGAGGAAAACAATCATTCAAAATTTCTAACCAAGACACAAAGATTAAAAGAAGTATTCGGAGGAGCACTTTATAAAATGCCTTGATCGGAACTTATTCTTTGTTCAGTTCCAAATTGCACTCGCTCTAAGGTGAATAGCACACACGTCCGCAAGTTCTAACAAGAAAACTGAGACTCTGTAGTAACAATCAAAATTTGCTAATACTAGCAACTAAAAGCTAAGACAAAATTGTGAGTCAACTAAAAAAAATGTTAAGAGTACTGCGCAAAACCTGTGTGTCTCATATAGCTCATCATCATGGCCCTCGTGTATGTAATTCATAGCAAGCAATCGATTCTGCAGAATAGTACAGATAAGCAATCAGATGCAGCATCAATAGACGAGTTCTTGATTTGTCTCAATCTGGAGAAAGATCAGTTATAACGCATGTACAGTAAGAAAACAAAATATGTTTCGGCCAAACATGCTGAAAAGCCAACAACCAAGAGAAAAGAGAAGATATGAAACCAAGAAACACTTCAGTCGTTAGAAACAGTAAACACTTCATACACAGTGATAGCAAAGGCATCTCAATGAACACGAGCAATAAAAAATGACTGGAAAGGAAGGCATAATAATTTTAGGAGCTGGACTATGAAAAAGAAGAGAGCTCATACCTGGCCAGCATTACGAGAATCTGGATCTATCTTTAGGCATTGCTCATATGCAGTAATAGCCATAGATATATTTCCAGCATCTCTATAAAGGACCCCTGCAAAGGCACGATAAAACATTATGCATGCAGGAAAGACTCAAGCCCGTTATGCAAAAAACAGTAATCAAGTTACAATCTCAAGGGTAATACTGATCACATAGGTCTAGCCATGTGATGTTTGAAAATCAACAAATGTTGCAAACCACACATGCCGGGACAGTGGTTGTACACATAACACATGGAGTCATAAGGGGGCCAGAGTAACGTCTCACAGATGAAGAGAAATACCCAAATTATTGTATGCTTCAGCATAAGTAGGATTAGCCAATATCGCTTTCTCGATCATGCTTGCAGCTGCATCCATTTTTCCCTGTTAGCAAGAAAGACTTGCATTAGTGGAGAAATGGCTGTTTAACAGCAGTACACAGGGTGAAATTATATCAAACCTGGACAGTGTACACAACGCCAAGGTTGTTCAGTGACTGGGAGAAGTTTGGCTTGATTGATAAAGCCAGCTGCAAAAGTGTTGTTCAACACAAATTAATCACAGACCTTTACATGCTAGAACAAAAATTCAATTCTGGTACAATTAGAGAAAGTTGCCTGGTAGCACTCCACTGCTTTATCAAGATTATCCCGGTCCTTATATATTACTCCCAAATTGTTGCACGCCTCAGCGCAATGGGGATTGAAGTGGAAAGCAAGTTCGTAGAATACAATTGCCTGGAACAAAGAAACAGAACAATGGTCACTAAGAAATTAGGTTGAGCGATTTGTTCCCTAACTAATGCACTACACATCAGTAACAAAGAGATTCCTAGACTAATTTGGATTCTGCTTCAATCAATGCACCTCTGCCTGATAAACGAATAAGCACCTAATTCATACATGAGCAAACTCACAGTAATGAAGTTCACAAGCCACATACCATATCAAACTGCAGCATCTCACCATAAGCAACACCAAGATTGTACATAGCATCAGCATAGTGCCAATTATAATATAAAGCCTTCTTGTAATATGCCACACCTTGACTGATGTCTCCCTCCAGTTTAACCTGCAAATTGATCGCTGAACCAAAATCAGGTATAAAAACAATCAAAATAAAGAAGAGAAAATATATGTATATCAACCAGTTTAAAATCAGCTCCCTGACCACTCATTACTAGAACAATAAGCAAAATAACCTCCTAAGGAACGCTTCAGCTCATATGCTGAGGAAAGTGAAATGGTCCAGTAGGAAATAGAAAACAATGGGAATGGAAACCCACCTTTGTGCCTAAATCAGTCAGTGCTATTGCCATGTTATTTTTGGCAATTTCAAAGTTAGGTGAAACAGCTAAACACCTGCAACGAAAGACCAATTAATCAATGAGTGCATCAGAATCCACAAAGATGGAATGATAACCCTCAAATGCAATTTTTAGCATATGACTACCAACTAGCATATTACCTCTCATAACAGGCAATCGCTGACTCCAAATCACCTCGATTTTTGTGTATGACACCCATATTGCAATATGCTTCTGCATACATGGGCCTCTCCAAGGCAGCCTTTTCATAGCAACTAAGGGCAGTGTCATATTTCATCATTTCAGAATATACTACACCAAGATTGTAATATGCAGGCTGCACATAAGAAGCATGACTATCAGGATCTTAACCAACAATCAGGAGGCAGACCATAAATACAATTCTTGGAAGCTACAATAAGCTAAAAAGTATCAAATTGGGTGGTCTAAGAGAAGCTAGGAATATGAATTACCGCATAGTGTGGATCTATATTAAGAGCTTCATAGTACTTTTGAATTCCCTCTTGGACGTTGCCAGAAAGCTTTAAACTCGTCCCAAGATCTGTTAAGACAATTGCTAGACATTCAGCAGCTGGCTTATATGAAGGATCTGCAGTTAGAGCCTTCTGATATGACTGCACAAACCATAGAAAATGCAACTAATTAAAGAGTGATCAAGTAGTTCTCACACAGTTGAAAAACATATAGAACACCAATACTTAACCACAATGCAGACGAGAAAGCAACCAAAGACCATGTTCATTAACAGATTGCCAAAGTGCTGGAAAAGACTCGTGGGAACAAAGAAAAAAATGAACTTTCACAATCAATAAAGATAATGTTGGTGCAAGCATATTACTACACTACAAAGTCAAACAAGGAAGCAGATATATAACTAATATAATAACCTAATATATCATAGGAAATGAAAAAGCAAAAGATCCCATATTGGACCTAATCCAACAATTCACGTTATGCATTCTTTTATGACATGCCCTCATTATTTCAATGCAGGGACTCCCTCTTATCATGGATATTATCCCAAAATATAAGAGATACTACAGACAATCTGGTCAAACTAGCTGCCTATTCCTTAGATTAGGAAACGAAATGAGACACATTCTACTTCTGCATGCCAGTTTTTCAGCCAAAGCTCAACAGCGAAAGGAAAACTGCACCATTGTTACATGGTTGAAAGAAAGAACAAATCTTGCAACTTCAGATAATGGCCAGCAGATCAGCAGTTCTGCTACCAAATAATTTTCTGAGAAGTGACCTGACAGTCAAGGAAGCATATGCAAATACCTCAGCAGCATCAACTAGACGGCCTTCGTCTTTGTAGAGTATGCCACAATGAGTGAGGGCGCAGGCATTCTGGGGTTCTATCCTGACAGCTTCAGCAAAACTGTCAAAAGCCAGCCTTCCCATGTTCTGCATCTGGAGGCATATCCCTTTTCCAATATAAGCTTCAACATTTGCACTATCTTCCTCCAATATCCTCTCATAGAGAACAAGAGCATCAGCAAACTTGTTTCTGGATCGCAGAATATTGGCATAATTCAAGGCATCCTTCCCTTGGAAATGCTTCTGCAATGAAGCCATAGCCGCAGGACTGCCACTGACACAAGGAGAAGACTCTGATTGTTTAAGGAAACCATTATCTCCTACAGGTTCTCCATCTTTCCCTTTACCAACAGCATCCTCGGGCAATGCCATCTAGCCCTTCCACAACTTTAATTTCCTAAAATAACAAAATTGACAGAAAAAATGACTAAACTTTTTCAACGTCTAAACAACCCCTCCCTGTATGGGAACACAAGGCCAAAACCAAACCCTCTTGGGTATAAAAATGTCAACTTTCTTGGGGATTGAACAATGTGATTCCAATGTCATCGGTAATATTGTACCACCGGAGGTAACTAGGTCCACAACAAGACAACATCAATAAAACCCACTTGACATGTCTTAAGGATGCCAATAAACCACACTATTTGTATTAAAATTGATGCAACTAATCTCATCAAGCTCGGACTTATCATCATTTCCCCTCGAGCAAATGAAAACTCTCCAAGACCATGGGGAAACAAATGATAAAACCAACAACGGCATTTAAACCCTACAAAACCTCCAAAAATGAGAAACCCAATACAAGGGTATGCGGGAAAATGTGATCCCAGTTCCAAGTTCCAACTCGTTGCATTCTAAACCACACCAAGGCATGGAAAATGAAAAGGAAATAAAGAAAGCCTCAAATTTTGGGGGAGAGAAATACCAGAAAGGGAATTTCGGGATGCACGGACTTGCATTCACAGTAGAGCAGAACCCTAGGAAGTACGATGGATTAGACTGACAGCAGTAAGGTGGATATTACAGCTTTCGGGCTAAGGGGGAGCGCAGGATAAGCAGGAAAGACGGCGTAGGTTAAGAGGAGCAGTCCAAGTAAACACCGCTGAAGACCTCCATGGAAAGGGTAAAAACTGTGAACTTGAATTCCAAAGAAGAAAAAGGGGGAGAGAGTTTGGACGTGAAGGGAGGCGGAGACGCCGCGCCGCAGCTCTCTCTCTCTCTCTCGCCCTCCGACACGGAAGAGAGAGTCCGGATGTGTCCAAAAAACAAAATTGCAAGTCCCACTCGGAAAAAAAGATTGGAGAAACAAAGAGAGAAAAGCTGATGAAAGAGAGAGAGAGCACCTGCTGTCCGTTCGTTGAATGCAACGAAACACTGTTGCGGCCTAACACGGACAACTGGTTTCTTTCTTACCCTTCTGGTTCAATATTATTTACTTCTCTATACCACTCCTATTGTTCCAGACTTCCAGCTCCGAGCTAGATAACCATTAGCCACAAAATGATCATTCTACTATGTGCAATGCAAGAAAATCAACACTAAATTTGAAACGCAACAAAATCACAAGAGTTATACAAACAAAATTACCCACAAACCCACTACAAGCGACACTCTAGCGAAGCCACCTAGTAAAGTCGAAAGACTCTAACTCTAGAAAAGACAATAGCAATGCTTTATGCGTCACTCTATGGGCAGCACTGTTGGTGGCTTTAGGATCCGTCCTAAACACTATACAAACTGACAAAAAGTCTAAAATCTGACGACACTTCCGGGACACCGAACCTCCAACGAAATCTTCTAATACATCTTGCGGGATCTGGTTGACGACCACCTCGAAATCACCTTCCATTATCACTTGAGTCAAGGATCTTGATGCGATGACGGAGATAGCATCTTTTACTGCTAGGAGCTCTGCCAGCTATAAGTTGACTACTCCCTGGTGACGCATACCGCCTGCCAGCACCACATGCCCGTCTGGCCCACGAATAACAAGACCAAACGAGCACCCTGAGTCATGAACGAATGCATCAAAGTTTATCTCAAATGGTCATCTTGTGGAGGTTCCCAAGACGAAGGATGAGGAATTGGAAGGAGCGATCTGGGGGCGGAGGAGGGGGTTAAAATTGAAGACTTGAAGGACCTGGTTGGAGAATTGTCTGGCGAGAGAACGGACATTAGATTGATAGAATTAAAAAGTCACTTTATTTCTAAACTTCCAGATTCTCCAAAGAAAACGCATTGGAGAGTGTGGAATGGGAGATCTCAGAGATCATGACATGACGCCACCATAGACTAAAATTAACAATCTGGCGGAATCATTGAAGTTGCTCAATCCCACCAAGGTCCACATCTTGGTGGAAAGGGGGCATCTGAAGAATAAGTGTTCAATGCTCTCTTGACATCGCCAGCATGTATGGGGATGGGATTAGGTGCTAACCATTATAGGGGTTAGCACCGTGATAACTAGCAAAAATCACTACGGATTATTATAAAATCAATACAACATCTAAGCTAAATCACTACTAATTCAAACTAGTAGTAGTTTTTCCCTTGGTTAGGACGGTGCTAGCTATTGTACAATTAGCACCGTAGCCGTTCCCGCATGTATGACATTGATTGAGGCAGTTAACTCCATGGGTTTGTAGGGGAACAACTGTAGGGGGGAAAACTACAACATACTTTTTGAAACCAAAGAGATTTCCTTTTGAAAAAATTCAACCAAAATAAATGGGACGATTACTATTGCTAAAATAATTATGAGCATATTAACTATGGTAATCAATTCAAATAACATTTTCTTGTATATGCGAATGCAATTATGATAGCTAGCTTCGCCATGTCTTGTCGGAGAAAGCACCGTTGGAGTGAAGGTGGACACCAACACTTTGCAGCGAGATTCCAGCAGTAATTAAAAGAGGATAATGGGATTAAGAGGTTAGTAAATAACTTTTTAATATCTCTTCCATTAAAAAATTGGATTCTCAAAACTGGCCAAGACCATATCGCGCCATTAATTGGACGCTTAAATGACATAATTGTGATTTGTAACATCTCATTAGTCCATTGACATTGACACACGAAGTATTTAATGACACATAATTGGCCTTAACGGTACTTGTTGTTCTGGAGCAAAGGCTCGCCCATGATGTCACTCGCATCCAGTAATTATTACTAATTAGGAGGGAGTTAATGATGAAGAGAGCCGGCGTAACGGCTCAATCCCGGCTGACACTAGCCGACGTTGACTGCCCGACCACGCCAGCGGCTCCCGGCACACTCCGGCAGTAACACAAAGACACAATACTGATCGGCAACCTACAAACCTTCACCGCAAACCTTAACACTGAGTAAACCCACACGTTAGTTAATTCAAGTTTAGCCACACAAAAAAATCATGCTTCAAAATACATGGTGATGAATATTAACAAGCAAACACCTAGTGAGCAACATTTCTACGGCTGATTTCCGGCTAGGGCATTCCATCAACCAAAACAGAAATCCTCTGAAATAGGTTCGCTAGCTTAGTTTCATCCACAGAAAGAGCTAAAGGATACTAGAAATGGAAAATTAGGCTTCTGATTCAAACCAACAACAACCATCACCAGAACAGAATCATTGGACGAGGAGGGACCAAGGAAGGGGTTCTCGGAGAAAGGCTGAAAAGACAACCGCTAGAGGGATTTGGCAGCACAATCGCCGACGAAATTGCGCCAGCAGTCATTGACGAACATTGTGACAAAGAAGACCACGAGGTAACAAATGATGAAAGGCGGAGATAATCCACGTGTCGCTCCGTCTATAGCGAGAACGAGATTTGAATAAGGGAGTTGTGGGCTCTTCCGATGCGAGGTCTTCGGCAGGCGGTGCAGTGGTGCCTGGTGGTTGTGGCAGTGGAGGAGGATGAAGTTTGGAGACATGGGAGTCACGAGCGTTCCTCTTGGGGTCGACGGCGGAGAAGACGGTGTAAACCAATATGAAAGTGTCGATGATCTCCGCGCCACATCTGGTAGCGACGTCGTAGCTACAATTGAGAGAGCATTCTTTGAATTTGGACTCCCCAACCCTCTACAAAGGATTTAAAACCCAGTAATTGGGTTATTAAACCCCCCCCCCCCTCCTTCCTACCCAAAAATGGGAAGTAATTTCATCCATAAAGGATCGTTGAGCGCCATTAAAGGGATACATAGCTTTGCAAGTCGAGTGGCTACTGGCTAGAGTCAGAGTCTAAACCATTAGTATAACAGTTGATTACTAGGAAATCAAATAATATAGTAGCTTCAAATTAAAGAGACCATTAAGTATGTCTTAAAAGGTATAGCAGTTAGTTAGACATCATTATTGGGTCAATAAGAGGCTCAAATACATTGAATAAAAGATGTGTTAAAGACCCTTATTTAGGCTTAATGGTCTTGGCGCAAAAGGATCCCTGAATATAAAAATGGTAATTAATTAGCTTTATTGTCGACTAGAGGAGCCTTCAATGCACGCCTGGTTGGAGGAAACAGATCGCTGGAGCTCACCCTAGAATTATCGAGCAATCCAGCACCGTACCGTTGATGGATTTCCACCGGGACTTAATACAACAATTGTGATGCAAGGGAATCCATAGTTGAACTGTGAGGAGATTTCCTACAACGAAATCCCAATCGAAACAACACGAATTTGCTACTGGTATTCTCTATTTTGGTTTGAACCGGAGAGTGGGACGGAGGTCTAGATTTTTCATCGGCCAGAGTTTTGCTTGGTGGAAATTACTTATGAGGAAAGAGCCGGAAGGAATGGAGGGGATGAACGAGCGAAAGGCCTTTGTATTAGGACCATAAATCTGGTTCAAGATAAGAGGATGATGACTTGATATATACACATGTTTTTATCCACCATTCTTATGTCGTTTGAGCCTCATTTCTCGTATCTTAGGCTGATTTCATGCTAGGTTGTTCTCGTTTGTGTTATTTCAGGTCCTAGTACGTGATTGGAGGTTTGGGATCGATTTTCGGGCCGATTGGACGAAAGTTGGACGTCTGGCGAGAAGCTGGGAAATCCACATGGCCAGACCTAGCAGCCACACGGCCGTGTGGAATCCCATTACGCGAGTAAGCCACACTGGCCGTGTATTGGGTCCCTTGAGGCCGTGTGGAAATTCCAGGGAGTTCACACGGCCAGACTGAGATTCCACACAATTGTGCACTTCTGGCCTTGCAGCGTGCATGAAGCTCATTAGATGGAACCACGTGTTTTGGCACTCACACAGACATACTGGGAAGACACACAGTCGTGTGGCCTGGCCGTGTGGTTGGGAAATTCTGGGTTTTAACCCAATTTCGAGCCTAAGGAGAGGGAATCGATTTTCCAGAGCAAAAACAAAGCCC